CAGGATGGCCATGAGCCAGCAATGTGCCCTCGTGGCCAAGAAGGCCAATGGCATCCTGGGGTGTATTAGAAGGGGAGTAGCCAGTAGGTCGAGAGAGGTTCTCCTGCCCCTCTGCTCTGCCCTGGTGAGGCCACATCTGGAACCTTGTGTCCAGTTCTGGGCCCCTCAGCTCAAGAGAGACAGGGAACTACTTGAGAGATTCCAATGCAGAACCACAAAGATGCTGAAGGGAGTGGAACATCTCCCGGATGAGGAAAGGCTGAAGGAGCTGGGTCTCTAGCTTGGAGGAGACTGAGGAGTATCCCCTCCATCCCCTAACATTCTGTGATTCTGAGATTTTATTTCTGTTTTTATGATACACTTCTGGTCTGGTGATACAGTAAAATGCATCCTCCTAGTGTATAGAGACCTGAAGTTCCAGATCAGTTAGTGCTTAAACTGTGTGAGATGCAAGACTGTTTATGTGATGATCGTCCAAAATACAACCAGTTTGGCATGCTACTTAGGAATTAGTAGAGCTGTCTCTTTCAGAATTATGTGTGAAAGTTCATTGGGTGGAAAAAGGATTCCTTTCTCACAACATAGAAGAAGGAAAGAAGCGGCCATAGAGGATGTCCTTATTTGAGCTAAACAGAACTGATTCTGTTCAGTGAATTTGCTTTTCAGCTCAGTCTCTTTCAAGAGGCTGCACGTTCTGAAGTCAGCAGCATGTTTTTGCAGACAGTGTGTGCTACTGGCTGTGGTAACACCTGATGTTTGCAGTCACTGCCTGGGACTGGGATGCAGAAAGGCTCTTGCTGATACTTATTCCTACGGTGACCGAGGCCACTGCTGGCTCTTATGTACAATGTTGGGGTGCTATAAAGTGAAAAGTCGCACCCCAGGGAGGACAGGGAAGGTGAATTCAAGGCTGAAAAATAATTCAGACATGCTTTTTCAGATGTATTGTTTTGGTTTAGAAACAGTTATTTTTACTCTTAAAAACAACTTTGGAGCAGACCTTCAGCAAAACATACATGTCTGCAGATTGTCATTTAGTGTCAACGTACTTGAACTGGCTTTAAAGGAAATTCTAAGTGCTGGGAACAGATTGATTGTGTTATCCCTCTTCCTAAATAAGTAGCCTGTGTTCAGCTTTTTACACACTGCGACCAGATTGAGTCGAGGTAGCTTATTTAAAAATAAATGGAGATGGAGTGCTTTTTCTACACTGCACATACGTTGTGTCTGGTTTTTTGTTCTTCATGTTTGCCCCAGAGCTAAAGAAGTAGATGCAGGACTGGATCTGTGGGCGGTGAGTCAGAGTGCAAATAGTGCAGTACTAATTCTTTACTTGACTGCTAATCATGACTTCTTCATTCTCCTTCATTTCCAAGTAAATACAAAATCCATTAAAGTAATCTCACAAAACGTTTAAAATTTCTCATATACATGTAGACCTGACTCAGGCCAGTACTAACTCAATAATTATTACCTCTTTCACTTGAGCAGTAGATGGTTTTGTCTAAGTAACTGTTGCTTTCTAGGTGTATTCCAGAGTGATGTCAAGGATCAAAGAATTGCATCAAAGGATGCAATTCTGTTGAATGGAGACTTGGCTGAGATATAAAACCATCTCAGATATGCTTCAGTATTACACTTGCAATCACTGCTTGCAGCTAGCTGTCCATTTCACAGAAAACTGCATCTTCTTGTTTGTCTCTGTGAGAGACAAATTTTGTGTTTACAAGGTAGTTTTAAAAATGCCTTTAACTTCTAGTGTATCTTTTAAAAATAAGAGTAGCTTACACACATATAAAACTTACAGTTTGAGAAACTGTGTTGCACTCAGCAGTGACTGGATTCAGAAAGAGTGTTCCAGCCCAGATCACGAGGCAAGAGAGTTTCATGTTTAGAGCCTGGTAAAAAACAACACTTCTGTGCACCAAGACAAGAACACCAATGTATTCTGTAGTGACAATTTAACAGATTAATAGATAGTTATTTCAATGATAATTTCACAAGGTGGTTTTTTTTTTTTACGTAAATACTATGAAATGTAAAATTAAGAGGAAAACCATATGTTTTCAGAATGTGTTCAGCTTCCACTTGGCTGAACCAAAACTGAAATCCAGTGAGTAGAGTGTGTCAGCAAATAGAAAAGGGATTGTTCCGACAGGGTAATAGACAACAGTCATAAGTGGATAAAACAAGTAGACAGATATGTAATCACTAATATCCCTGCTAGAACAGTTGTGAGTGCTGGAAGACTGTGATAGGAGTGAACCTCAGAAAGGGTTCAGGCTTGCCTGCTCTGCCTGAGTAATTTCTCCTATTGTCACTGACAAAGGCAAGAATGCTGTACCAAAGGGACTGCTGATTTATGCAGTCAGATTTCTCTTATGTTCTTATGTAAATTATTGAGCTTTATTTGTAAATTTTCTAATTAGGAGATTAATGTTCTAATCTCTTTATTTTACGTAACATATAACGTATATCACATGCATAATCCTGGACCGCCTTATTATGAAGGTGTAGTTGTTACTCTGATCTTTGGAACTAAGTAAATATGATTCAGTCTCTTGTGTTGGAGTTTTTGTACAAATTAGAACCTTATTTTCTGGAGAGTCAAGAAAGCTTTTTTGACGAGTGGTGACATTAGCAACTCTCAGAGAAAGTGTCACTCACCCATCCTCTTTGAATCATTTGCAAGATTACTAATTTTGAGCAGGAAT